CAAAACAATAAATTAATTTTTTTTTTTTAAAAAGCAAACTTTTTACATAAGCTTTAACATTTTTCTCTCAATAACTATCAAAAGATTTGATTCTTCCATTTTTTTAATTGTTCATCTGCATCTGCCATAGAAGCTCTTCTCTTTCTTCTTAACATTTTTCTACAATCTCTTGACTAATATCATAAGTCGCAGTTGAAGAAAGTGAAGGAGGGTCATTAAGTTCATGAAAAATATTGAAAAATATCTCGTGGGAAACAGTGATGCGTATGCAAGCTTGAAGAGCAAACCGACTTATGGTTATTTCCAAAACCGACTTATGGTTATTTTCAATGATTGATTTTTTTTTGGATTTGTGTCATTTAGAGAATAATCATTTTGTAGTTATTAGTATATTATATTATACGGTCAAATTAATTTCCGATAAAATCACTTTATAGTTATTTCGAAGGGTCAAGTTTTTCAAAATTACGTGTTTTATATTTTTTTGGAAAATCGTTTAAACCATTTTTTAGGTTATTTCTCAAGGTTGCGTCTTTTAAAAAAAAACCGTTCGTGCTATTTTATAATTATATTAAAGGGTTGCGTCTTTTAGATAAACCACTTTATGGTTATTTTCAACGGTTGTGTTTTTTCAAAACCTATTTTATGATTATCAGTATATCATATGTTTTATAGCATCTTTTTGATAAAACCACTTTATGGTTACTTTTAGTTGTGGCGTCTTTTCGATAAAACCGTGTTATGGCTATTTCCAAAGATCATGTATTTTTTTTTAAATGTTTTATAGTTATCAATATATCATAAGTAGCATTTTTTCGAGTAACCAATTTATAATATTCTAAATATATGCAAATTTCAGTGTCAATAAATATGTTGTGGTTGATTACTAAATTTATTTATTAATCATTTCATCAATTACAAATATTGAATATTGCATTTACATTATGATATCATTACTAAAGAATTTCAGACGTTATTATTAATGTAAATTTACTTCATTTACTTAAGATCAATATTTCCAATATTAGAAAATCTACTCGCTCTTCTCCTACAAAAAAAAATATACCATACACAATAGTTACTTTTTGTTTAAAAAAAAAAAGAGAAAGAGAATATAGCTCGAGTTTTAAAAAATTAAGAGATCTAACAGTCCATATGATTGGTTTGTAACAAAATGAAGTGTTATGTTATGTGATTAGTGTATATTTTTTTTAAAAGTATTATACCCAAACAACTTCCATGCCATGTATTTTTA